CCACAACATATTTATTTTTTATTTTTTTTGTAAGGGTCTCAAATATCAGTTTTGTGATACAAACTGGCACTGGACAATATGTCACTAAATGCATGGAAGTAAGAGGGTTTCGATATTTTTTTTTTTATTTTTTTTTGTTAGGTCATTTAAGTTTTCATTAGATCAAAGTAAGCATTATAGCATGCAATATACCGAACTAAAGGGGAAACGTCAATGAATCAGAAATATTAAAAATCATACTGAGCATCTGCATATAAATTACTCTTTATAAGTAAAATGGCACATAACATTAGAAACTAAACTAATTTTTCGATAATTCTTAGCATTTCTATACCACACCTACTTTTCACATTTATATACAATTAAGAATGCATGCTCTTCTCGATTTTGCCCTATGCCTCTATATGCCAAGTTGGTGTGTGTGACGGAAAGAAAGCACAGATGTGTCGTGTAGGCAAATTGTACTAATTTGGAAAAACATGCTTACGGTCACTCCTTGACTATTTAAAAGGAAAAAAAAAAGTGTCGCCCTTTTAAGAAATGGAAAGGCAAAATGTCTGATAACTTTGTTAAAGGACTTGATTTGTCCATAGACCCTTGGTTAACTTATGAAGAATCTTCCTTTGAGTAACATTTTGTGTTACAAGGTGTACCCGAAAGACTGCATAAACTTTTAAACCTATGTCACAAGAATTTTAAACTTTCTCCAATCTCAATTTAAATGTATGTGCCTCTTTCTACAGCAAATTAGAATGTACATCACTGAGCTGCTATACAAATAAGACTGAAAAATCGCACAGAAATTGCCATATTTCTGCAGAATATTGTTTCAATAAAAATGAAATGTTTTTACATATGCATTCTATTTCTTTGTAAAATATAAGTTTGTTTCCATTTCTATGATTGCTTAGAAACATTTAGTGCCAAAGTGATTTGCTACTTTAACTCAATGGAAGGCATTCAGCTAAGATTTAGAATTGTTACTAAATGTCAAGCCTTTAAAAGGGACACTATAAGCACCAACCCCCCACCCCCCCAAAAAAGGCTCTTAATTGAGTGCTTTTGGTGTCTAGACCCTTCAGTCTAATTGCTCAATTGTCAACATTTTACGAATTAAATCGCTTTGTTTATGCAGCCTTCCTACACACTTCCTGTCTGTTTAATTTACAATTTCTTAACTCCTGCTCTTTTAATAGCCTGCAGGAGCCTCTTGTGTGCAATTACAGTTCAATGGAAACCATTTTTTGTTTAGGTCACTTGAGTCACAGTCGAGGGCTGCATAAATAGAAAAAAGAATTCACTCCTAAATGGCAGAGAATTGAGAAATGAGACTTCACAGGAATTATCTATACACTAAAACATCTTCATTAAGCGAAAGTTGTCTTGATTCTTTGAGTATCCCTTTAAAATTACATTTTAAAAGGGACGTTATACCATGCAGGTTCCTTAATGTAAACTGTGCCTTTCCATAGAAAAGGCAGTGTTTTACTGCCTAGCGACACATCTAGTAACAGTCACTCAGATGGCCACTAAAGGTGCTTCCTGGGTCAGTGCTGCAAAATGTGCAGCACTGACTTTCAGCATCTCTACACTCTGCATGGAGGCGCAGAATGTTCCACTAGAGATTCATGGATTCAATGCATCTCTATGAGGAGATACTGATTATTGTGGCGTTTTGCTCACATGCGCGATACTCCTAATGCATTCCTATGGGAGATCATCAAATGTAATAATCTCAGCCAAAAGTGGTGGAGCATGGGGGGAGCAAGCTGCGCCCGGACGCACGGGGCATTGAAAAAAAGGTGAATAACTGGGGGTAAGGCGGGTAGGGGGCCTAAACGAGTTTGTATTCCCGACACTAAATGTTCATTTAAAGTCACCTGAACACAGCCTGCATGATAAGAAAATGGTTTAATTTTCAATCCTATGTTAACTTGCTTTATAAGTTTTCTAAATTGATCTTTTATCACACACAGCAGGCTAAATTAAACAGAATATGCAATAAAGGAAGTTTAAAAATTAGATTGAGACTTCGAATGGAAGCCAAGATAAAGACACTGACCACTGAAGGAAGTTTAGTAAGCTGGATC